GAAGAACAAGAAGTCGATTAATCATTAGTGAAATTGCTCATCAAGAATTTGTCCCGCAGCTGTTCAATCAAGGATTAAACTTATGGAACCACTTGCACTGGAGTCGGTTTCACAAAAATAAAAGACCTTACTACCGTCATATAGGTTCTGAATTCTATTTATATAGATAATAAAAACCAGGTGTTAAACAATAACAGAGCAAGTTTTGAAAAAAGAAATAAAACAGAGGTGTCGCACTTACCGTAATCACCACACCTTCGATTTCGAAAGGTTATTCCAAGACGGTGGAATGCAAATGGTAACTGTTTTGAAGATAATTAAATTATTGATTGATATCGATCATCCCGTTTATAACCTCGCATTGGTTTGAGCAATACCCCACCAGGAAACGATTTTGATTACAAAAATTACTATGAGTTCACATTTTAGAAGTAAACTTTTGGCTTAAAATAGTATAATGTAACTACCGGTAAGTGATTTCCATCATCAGAATACGAATTGCACAATCTAATATGAGCACATTCTATTACAGAAAGCGATTCTTTTTTCTACCTAGTTAAATACGTTTCTGTTGACGGATGAATTTTACGATCGCATACGACTAAACCCATTACTGTTAGAAGACATTTAGTATTTTCTTCTTTGCCTCTCTTCCGTCTAGGAAACTAAGAAGACAATTTACACCTGCTACTATTTATTAAATTAATTTCCACTGTTACTAGTAACATTGTTGTGAAACAAATACTTATCACGGAAAAGTAGTCAATCAAATGTCAATAGAATTTTTACTTTTAAAAGGCCCAGTAAAATAATTTGAAGCATGGTTTTATAGGCAGTCATGGGACAGTAATTTGTAACATGTGACTCTTATTATAGTCTATACACCTATATAAAGGGGAAATGTACAAAACAGTATTAATAAGGGGAAGACCAATTTGGGTTTAGAATAAATAAGAAATGCGGGAGGCCATTTTAACTTTATGGGTGACAATAGAGAAAACGATAGAAAAAGGGAGTACATAGAATTCGTAGATTTAGAAAAAGCCGAAACAATGTTGAATGGGACAAACTGTAGGGATGAGATACAGAATATTAGAAAGGGAGTCAGACAAGGATGCACACTGCCACCGATACTTTTTAATCTCTACGTATATCTAAGATGCAATATACATCATTAAAGGCAGGATAAATTTAGGAGTAGATATACAAGGGCATAAAATTGGTATACTTAAATTTGCAGATGATAAAGCAGTATTAGGATTTAGCACAGAGGAGTTAGTGATAGTCTTAAATTAAATGGAAGCAGTATTGACAACAACAATACGGTATGAAAAGAAATAAAAGTATAACAAAAATATTGGTATGCAAGGAAAGAAAGAGTAGGAAAAAATGAATATAAAGTCAGGAGACGAAAAATTAGAAAAAATGGCTGATTTTCGGTGTCTTGGAACTCAGGGGGGAAGAAAACAGAGGAAAACATAGTAGAGTCGCCTTTAACAAAAAGAAGTCACTTCTATGCGTGTGAAGGGTTAATTTAGAAATTAGTAAAATATTGTTAAAGGTATGTATGGAACACGGTTCTGTATGGGTATGAAACGTGGACAGTGAACGTGGCATAAAAGAAAAAGTTAAAAGCATTTGAAATGTGGTGTTATAGGCGAATGATGAAGATGCCGCGGATACAGAAGGTTAGAAATGAAGAGGTATTGGAAGGAATAGGAGAAGAGAGGACTCTATGGAAGTCAATTAGAAATAGGCGACTAGGTTGGTAGGACACCTTCTCGGACATGAAGGGCTAGTTAGAGACATATCGGAAGAAGAAGCAGCAGTTACGAGGACAAGACGTAGACCCAGATAGATTACTGTTTACAAATAGTTACGGATGTGGGATGTTCTAGTTTTAGGGATAAACGAAGATTAGCTCAGGATAGGAAAGACTGGAGGTGATTGTCCAAGCCGTTTAGGACTCACGACATTATGATGACGATGTCTATATATATATATATAAAAAGCATACAATACGCATACCTTTTAATTGCCTACATGCTTCGAATAAAATGTAACTACACAATGAATCACACTCGAGTTCACCACCGCATTTGGGTAACCAAAATTTTCCAAAAACTAAGAATAAGTAAATTAAGGAAACGCAATTATCTATACGTGAAATGTATTGCAAATGCCAATAAAGATACGCAACAATATTTAATATCAAATTCCATTTCTAATCCGTAATCAATAAGATAAACTGTTACAATCATGGAAAACCAATGATGCCATTGTTATTTTTTAAAAGTTTGTGCTTTACCTTATTCTAAACATATGAATAACTCAATAAAACAAATTTTAATAGTATATACTGTGTTTTTCATTGGAAACAAACAGAAACGGCATATAGAACAATCTGGAACAAAAAAAATCGAAAAATTGGGGGCCAACTTCATAGAGGTTTTGGATGTTCAAGTTTAATTTTATAGAAAGCTGTTTGGACTAGATAGCACTATTATAGTATACATATATCAGAAAGGTTTCGATTAGTGCAGCACCTCACGCTATCTGATACAGCATATTGGACGTGGAAACCATTTCTTCGCACAGTTTTCGAGCTTCGAAAAATTGATAATAATAATCAAAAGTTGTTTAACCAAACCTAACCGGAGACAATTTTTTTTGTTTTATTATAGCACACTGCTGTAAAACACAGATCAAACAGATTATATATGTTCAATGAAAGCGGTATCAATGAAGCCAAATCAGGGATCGGATACTGGGGGAGTCAGTGGAGTGTAGGCGAAACTTGGCTACTATCACGGACAGGGTTGGATTAAATAAAACATATTAATAGTTGTGATAAAAAGTACTTACAAAACGTATAATTAATTTATAAATTCATAAGTATTAGTGTGGTATAATGGACAATAAAAACATATTGCTGCGCGGAACCCTCAAAATGTCAAAAAATATTTTATATTATTAGTTATCTAAACAATTGAAATTCCACCACTAAAACGATCAGATCTCCACAATCATCAACAATGTATTTCTCCGTAATTGAACAAATAACAACCGCATACTTAATAAAATAACAACAATGTTAACACAATGCATCTCTCACAGCGACTGACGGTGGAGTTCACTTCGTTCGTGCTGTCTTTACCTATGATTCTAACTAATCAGCCTTAAGTTAGGTTGGATCATAAGGTTACAGTGGGTAAAGATAACACGAATGAAGTGAATGTTGTAGAAGCTGTATACTTTCTTTTGGGAAATTGTTTACTTTGGAGGTCACGCTGAACTGTAGGACAACATACTACAATTTCATGAAAGTAGGAAGTGTGGCTCCGAAAGTAAATAATGTTTGTTTACAGCAATGTGCTGTATAAAAAAAAAATAAAACTGCCTCAGATTGACTGTGGTTGGGTTGGGTTTGCTTCAACTACTTCCGATTTTTAATTTTTTGAAACGAAAACTATACAAAAAATGGTTTACATGCTCAACGCATATATTTATACATAGTATACGTATATTATTTTTACTTGAAATAGGATAAGGAAAAACTATTAAATAACTCGTGTTTATTTACGGTCCATTACCTTGAAAAAACGAATTATACAGAATAACTACATTTTCGGAAACAATTTAAATGGTTGGAAAGATGTCAACGTAGCGGGAAGCTGTTTGTTTAATGGAAATTCCTATCCCTCGTCCAATGTAGGTAAGGTTGACCAGTTTCGTTGTCTACGTTTATGTATTATATAGAATTATATTAAGTACCTAGCCTGTGATTTTCTAACACGACCGGTGACCCCCAAAGACCTCCGTTTAAGATGTAAGACATTCGATAGTCCTCGGCTAACTCGCCAAGGCAATTTTATAATAACAAGACCTAAGAATAATTTAGCTGTTACTCTCATCTTCGAGTAATTGAGATGATAATAGAAGGGTCCTGGCTAATGACCGATATTTATTTAAGAAAGCAGATGAAGAGACATGTTCACTTAAATTCTTGTAGAATTACAATCAACAGAGAAGAATATTTTCATTTACTTTGATCATAGTTATCAGCTGCATAAGAAACAAGAATTTAAGGTTCGTACCTAATTCTTGTCAGATCAATATTATTTATCAATACATGTACAGTCTTTCTAATCCGGTTTAATAACTGTAATCTAATCGTTATGTAAAGGTTTGAGATTCCTTACGTTTCAAATAGAGATACATACAATTAAATTTCTCCAAGAATTTTGAGAAGTAAAAGTAGTAGGTGTTTTAATTTTCTATTTTTTAAAACTTAAAACACATTTAAATTTTCTAGTGTCTTGGACAAACATTAGAATATCGAATAATAGTGATCATTTTATACAAAGAAAAAAAATTTTTTTAATAGTGTAAATAAAAAAGGACAGTAACGACAACACTCACTTAGCTCGGGTTGCCTTTACCTACCGTGACCTTATAATTCTAAATTTAAGTAAACCGTATATAAGATAGCTTGATAGACAATGGCCTGCCGTGTCAATACCAATCATTTATAAGTGAGGGCTGAACGGATGCTGATTGCAAAATTTAGATTGCAATCAGACACCCTATATATTGCGAACATTGTAGGCATACATACGTACCAAACAAGAATATGAATAGCAAATCATAGAAACATTTAGAAACGTTGACGGAAAGTTACGTAGTAACACACAGATGTGTTAATAGTATGCAATGATGCAGTTTTAATGCTTAAAAACGTTTTCCGAATTACCACAAATTTAATACTAATTGTAAAAGGAAAGACAGGCATTTAACCTGAAAGAGCTGATTTCGTTCATATCTTCACCACCTATAATTTTTAATCCTACAGGTGCCTAATGTGACCTTGAAATAATGCAACTTATCTACTTTAAAACGCAAGTGTCTAATTCTAAAAATACATTTACCACATCAGAATGCATAATATTAAATTATATTCGTTTAAGCAACCAACAAAAGGTCATTAATTTTACCATTACCTGTTTATGAGAGAAAGGAATGTAACAACCTGTAATCAACCTGCACTGTTATCACTTCGCACATATAAACAACGCTCACTAACTATCTTTTGTACATATGCCACAACTCTTGAGTTTTTTAACAAAACGGTTAGCACATTTTCGACACGTTCTCTGACACCAACTGCCACCAAACAGCTTGCTCGCTTGCTGCTTTTACATTCTACCAGACCGCTTCAAACCGTACAGTCGCGACACACACACAACAGCTCATCTAAAGTTGATGGCTGTATGCCCTGTATGTTGTACCGTGTAGTAACGACGTCAACATGCAAAGCATATTTGACATTTGATTCACATGTATTCGTGGCATATTTCTCTAGATGGCAATAGCAATCAAGTAGTTATAAAGTACCGAGGAGAAGTTTTATAGATTTCTAATCAATTTTGCAAATAGATCAATTTTTTATTTAAAATTCACCACCATTTATATGAATATTTACACAAATGTAAGACTTAGACAAATATTTGCACATTCTTGATTTTAAAATAATCGGCTGCTTTTTATTATAGGATCTATTCCTCTTTTGTGCGATGATATGATAGTACATTTGAACTACGACCATAGAATTAAAACAATAAACATGCACAACATGACAATTGAAGTGCATGTACACGTCAAGCAATAAACCTATTAAGAATATAATGATTGTTAATAAATGAATTTTTATTAGAAAGAAATAATGAAAGAGAACTGATAACGTAGGATTGCGTTAGAAATACTTTTGTAAAGTTTTAGGCATTGGCAATGGGTAAATATGAAGAAAAACTATTTAGGTTATATTTCATATAACTTGTGTATTTTAGGTGGTCTCCTAAGTTATTTTAAAGGCCTTTTTGGAGCCCGTGAGATGAGAATCCTTATTTTAGGTTTGGATGGTGCCGGCAAAACCACAATCTTGTATAGGTTACAAGTGGGCGAAGTAGTTACTACAATTCCAACAATTGGATTTAATGTAGAACAAGTACAGTATAAAAATCTTAAATTTCAAGTTTGGGATCTCGGAGGCCAGACAAGCATTAGGTCTGTTAATTAAAATGGAAAATTCACTATTTTTCATCATGCATATTATTAACGTTTTTTTCTAGGCCATATTGGCGATGTTATTACAGTAATACTGATGCTATAATTTATGTGGTTGATTCAGCAGATAAAGAAAGAATTGGTATATCTAAAGATGAACTTTTTCACATGTTAAGGGTAAGTATTTTAAAGCAATTTTGAGTAAACATGGGAATTACTTTTGTTATTTTTAGGAAGAAGAGTTGCAAGATGCAATACTAGTTGTATTAGCCAATAAACAGGACATGGCTGGATGTATGAGTGTGGCTGAAGTTCACCAGGCGTTAGGTTTAGATGCATTAAAAAATAGAACATTTCAAATATTTAAAACTTCAGCAACCAAAGGTGAGGGATTGGACCAAGCAATGGATTGGCTTTCAAATGCACTTCAATCTAGAAAATAATTTATTGACATCATGTTTTTGTACAGTACTAGTCCTTATGAATCATTTATGTTTATTGGTACCCATTGAACTTCAAAAATTAAGAATAGCTGAAGAAAATTTACTTTGAATTTAAATATTTAACATATTTTTATTATGAATTAAACAGTTGCCCATAATTTGTTTCATGTATGTAATTATAAACATATTTAGTTTAAAAATAATTGAACGTGGGTTTCATAATTATGGCAAACCTATTGAAAAGATTTAATGTAAGCTACATTTAACTTTATTTTATTAGCCACAATGTAAAATTCTCTGTTTGCAATCTTAATATGTATATGTTGTAAGTATTCTATTTATTTCGCAACTTTTATCATTCCTTGAGCGAGTTGTAATCCAGTTATCATTAAACAAACTTAATTTTTACCATTTGTAAGCAGTTTTTTGTTTGTCAAAATTGCCATAAAACCTTTATCATAGCAACAAAAATAATTTAGGTTTTGCGTAATTCTTTACTTATTTGGTTCAGAATATGATTTCAATTTACATCATTTGGAAGCAATGAAAATTTCACCACATAAAATCCAATGTTCTATTTTTTAATTCAAAGCAATTATTCATATGCCGTCTCAATGTATCTCATAATTTTTTTTTTCTGAATTTTAAACTATTCTAAAACATACAATTCAAATTCGGATTGAGAGACCGTGATCGAAATGAACCATTAAAAGAAAAATGTTTTTTATTATTCATAAGATTAACAATACTTTTTGAATGCACGCATTTAATTATTTAATTCAACTTACTGAGTAAAATTATCAAAAGTCCAATTCCTCTTCTTCAAAAACATCACCAAACCTTGCAATCCTTTTATTTGCTGCTTCCAATTCTATTTGTACTTTTTTTCTAATATAAAAAATTGGGCAGTCCCTGCTTGTACATAATATTTCTTGATGAAGAGAACCCATGCACCTCTGGCATTCTGTAAATAGTTTTGAGAATCTTTCTTCTAGCAACCTGTGATACCCCAACTCTTGTTTATAATAAGTTGCTTCCTTGGGTTTACAGTAAGCACAAAGAGGTTCATTTTCATATCCCTTTGGTAATACTGATCGACAACCCATACACGTTTCCTTTTTCTGAGTAAAAGCCGCTAGGGCTCCGACCCTCGAAGTTACAAATGTTCTCGTTCTTGTATGCTCCCCTCCTAAATAAGAACATTTAGGTTGAAATGATTACATTATAAAAAGTATTTTAGCAAAAAGAAAATAAAATATTGTAAACACTTACGAAGTAATATAGACTCTGCATTGTCGCCAAGCACTGGTTGAAAAATTCTCACTAATGGTTTCGATAACTGATTCTCTAGGTAATAATTCGAATCTATTGGAATATTATTTTCTAGCACGTAAATAGGATCCTACAAACACAACATAAATCAATTTTATAATCGAGGCTAAATTGCTTTACAAAACCTCAGCTTTCTCGTAAGCTCTTGCACTTTTTGTTGCTGCAATGATAACATAAGGAATCCGATCACCCAATTTTGGAGCATTACCTGGATCTCTTTTGGCAATTTTCTTAGCCAACTCCACATGAGCCTGTTTTGCAGCATAATCGTCTTTAGTAAGTTCTTTAGTTATAACTAATTTTGAAATGTCTACATTATTCTGAAGCAAATTTGATATTACTTCTTTTGCATAAGACACAGCACCATCCGGATCCCTAAAACAAATTCGTTGTTAAAAAATAATTTCTAAAACAAGTATATGAAAAAATACCTATGAATTAGTAGCTTTTGTAAACAAGTGCTAATGACATCAACTACCAAAGTACAATTGTCTCTTCGTACTGTTTCTATTCCTTTGCAATCCATTTTGTCATATTTGTCTGGTTTTGTGAAATATAAACCAGCATAGCGTTTTTTGTTTATCAATAAATACGGAAAATATACCTAAAAAGATTAACAAAAATTATAATAAACATTTATATTTTATGTTTAATAAACACGTTACTTTTTCAAATTCTAATTTAATGGGTTTTACGAATTTGCTACTGATCAATTCCGCAGCTTCTTTTCCTAATTCCATGCTTCTCTGTATGTCACTCACTTTAAAATTCACCATGACGGAGTCTGTGTCACCATAAATAACTTTAGCGTCATTTTCGTAACCATTTTTAACATTATAGTGTTGTTCAACCTCTTGGCGTGTCTGCTCAATCATGGAACGACCGTACGCAGTAACACTCTAGAAAAAAATTAAAACAAATAAATGGATAGAAAAAATAACATTATTATTTTTATTNGAATTTAGCTATAAATGTTGAAGTTAATTTTGTTTGCTGTGAAACAGAGTGGGAATAGGTCAATAGAAAACACTAGTATTCGAGTGACCTTTTCCCATCTCTAAATTTTACATAATTTTTTGTTTTTAATGGAATTATTTTTTTAATGGATTTAATTGGTGACATACAGGATTATTACATCTTCGTTCTGTTAGAATGAAAACAAAAATTGTTAACTTTAAGTAAAATAAAACTAGCATTAACTATTCATTAAAGCCGTGATTTCTTCATGTAATTTTTATATAAATAATTTATATTGGACACCAAATTTCTATTTGCAGAAGAACCATGGAAGAAGCTAAACAGACAAAATAAGCAGCCCTCGGAAATTACAAAAATTACTTACACCCGATATTTCCAAACAGGGTAATTTTCCAACTTGGGCCCCAGTAAAGCCATAAACCGAATTGGCAGAAATTTTTAAAGCCAACTGTTTACCATCTAGCACGGCCCTCATTACAGGATCTGTTTCTTCTTTTAATTGAGTCTTGGCTCGTTTGCGAGCAGCTAAAAGCTGCTCCAAAATTTGAGGCAGCAACCCCCGCCTAACACTTGCTTTTACAAACTTGTTATTAGCTGGAGTTGTTGTCACTTGATCGGGATTCAAACTAAAATAGTTTACATATAGTGTAGTTCGAAATAAATTAAACAAACGCAGGAATAAAAGAGAAAAAAAACAATATATATCGGTTCTGATTATTTTTCATACAAAGTTATTAAGGTAACAATGTTTAACCTTCCTTACCCCAATTTTTCAGCAGAAGATGTTCTTAATAAAGTTGTATAACATAAATTATGCGCTATCATAATACTGGNTTTATATAAATAATTTATATTGGACACCAAATTTCTATTTGCAGAAGAACCATGGAAGAAGCTAAACAGACAAAATAAGCAGCCCTCGGAAATTACAAAAATTACTTACACCCGATATTTCCAAACAGGGTAATTTTCCAACTTGGGCCCCAGTAAAGCCATAAACCGAATTGGCAGAAATTTTTAAAGCCAACTGTTTACCATCTAGCACGGCCCTCATTACAGGATCTGTTTCTTCTTTTAATTGAGTCTTGGCTCGTTTGCGAGCAGCTAAAAGCTGCTCCAAAATTTGAGGCAGCAACCCCCGCCTAACACTTGCTTTTACAAACTTGTTATTAGCTGGAGTTGTTGTCACTTGATCGGGATTCAAACTAAAATAGTTTACATATAGTGTAGTTCGAAATAAATTAAACAAACGCAGGAATAAAAGAGAAAAAAAACAATATATATCGGTTCTGATTATTTTTCATACAAAGTTATTAAGGTAACAATGTTTAACCTTCCTTACCCCAATTTTTCAGCAGAAGATGTTCTTAATAAAGTTGTATAACATAAATTATGCGCTATCATAATACTGGGATATAGAGAACTGAAATCTAATGTTGCAATGGGATTGGTATAGTAGCCACGTATAGGTTCGATTACTGTAGCACCCTCATATTGATCAGAACTAATACTTTGATGATGTGTTGGCATAAAGTAGCCTGCATCTTGAGCCTACAGACATATTTAACATGTATATTAAGAATGTCTTTTAGTTCGCTTTTTTTAATAAAAATTATTAAATTTAAAATGTCCTTAATACAAAGAATGTGCCCAAAAAAATCATACAATTTGACATACGTGTCTTAAAAGTTGTGCGACAACTTTAACCTGCTCTCCTTTTGTTAGTAAACTTGTTATCGGAACCCCCGTTACCCTTGCCATTTCCACATCATTAGTAAAACTTTTAACGTGATTCATTAATCGTAGCGGCAAATCAGCATCTTTTATACAATAAACTGCCAATCTAAAAATTAAAATAAATAATATTACGTGGCTCGCACAAAACATTCAGTCATGTAGACGCTACCATTATGAACTGTTTTGATGTTCTTGATTTTTTCCAAAATAGGCACAAGTATTTTTTTATTTGATGGTACCAATCGCAACTATATATACACGATATTCAAAATAAGTTTACGAAAATACAAGTATTATTTTGGCGCACAAAATCACGCACGCGTGAACCGTATAAGCGATTGTTTTACACTCTTTTTTTAATGAAAGTGGAATTTGATATTTGGTGTTTATACCTTTAACCTACGCAAAAAATATTTCCGAACTGCTATTAAATACTTAAAATTATCATTATTTTGAAATTAGTTTTCAAGAACTTCTTCAGTAAGTTTTCTAAATTTAAACATCAAAGGGCAACGACAAAATAGCTGAGAAAATGTTTACCTGCGTCTAGTCTGATCGTCACCATTTTGCAAATCGGTTATGATACTGTAATGTACATCTTCCTTTTGTTCCCCCAATATTTCCTGACAAACATTGTTTAAAGTATACGATCGTAATTTGAAATCTCGTTTAACAACAGTTAACATGTCATAGACAATCCGACCATCCACATTCACTGATTTAAACAAACGTTTTCCGACCTTCGTTTGATTCATCGTTTCTTTTATGACTGATCTAAAAAAAATATGCAAATAAACATATCATTTTTATATAAAATTAAAATTCTGTCGACCCACTAATACGTAAGGCAAATCTTGGCCCCTCCCCCACACATAACAGGACCGTAAGGCTTCCCCTCCCACCAGTTAGCATTACGTAATTTGTAGAAAGTCCTTTAGATGTTATACATACAACGTTGGCAATTACTGTAAGACTTTGTGGTTTCTTCAGAAGTTACATTGCTAATTGTGTGTTGTACTTTTGCAGAAGTTACACATGACGAAATAATTATCAATACAATTAAAAGTGTGGAAATTATTTTTTCAATTTTTATATTAAAATGAATTCCCACAAAGTACAAGTAGAATCAATCAAATAAGTATATAATTTTTAGTTATTAAATAATGATTAACGTATGGTTACCTAACAGATAATATTCTTCCTAAGAAATCAAAAGTCTTTAATTTAAAATGCTTGGCCCTGTCCAGTAAATATGGCAAATCAAAATTATTGATGTTATAACCACTTAGAATATCTGGATCCACTTTACGAACGAAATCTGCCCATGCAGACAACATATTTTCTTCTTTATCATAGCAGAAAACCTAAAATAATTTTAATATTCGGTAAATAAGAGAAACACTTAATAAAAATATTATATGAATAATGTATAAGTATCATGGTCTCCAAATTAAAATTTTATTGTAAGTGGTGAAAAATAAAGCAAAAACAAAATTAATTCATTCACAAAGAAGTGAAAATGACAAACAACATACAGCCAGTGATGGGTGATTATGTTGTTTATTTTATTAATTAATGATGTTTATTATACATTCGTTAAGGTGAAAACACTGATAAGGTAAACAGTGGTTGTTCTTTTTGGGATCCCTCTTTGGAGTGACTACTGTATATTCTTTAAATTGAATGCAAGGAGATATTTACCTCAGCATGACTTATTGGCGCGCAAGTATTTAAGGTGAATACATTCCTATGAAACGGTTCCTTGCTGCCATGTAATTGAATTACATTTGCGATCTGTATTACAGGATCGATATTTGGCTCAGGAAAAATACCTTAAATATAAATTAAAACTTTAAATTTTCTAGGATGCACTTTTTCTAAAACATCAGCTATTCGATAAAAACTCAAAAAGAAAGGCAGCAGAATATTTTTAACAAAATTACTTATTGTGGTAGACAATTGTCTGGATATGTGTGATCATTATCAAGAGTATTTACTATTAATTTATAATTTATTTAAAAAAATGGGAAAGAAAAAATATATAATTCTAATTAGCTATTCATTACTGAAACACTTTCACTTTTACAGACTTATATTTGCATGAAGTACTATTGTTTTTTCTAAATTAAAAGCATAGTCTAAATTAATATAATGTCTAAACATCCCTTTCTGATTTATTATTTAATTCTTTAATACTTTTTAAATATTCCAGTAAATTGTCCTACATTTACAGCATTACAGCACTCACATAGATAATAATTTTGATGAAATTACTCCATTGCACTTTTTCTTCATCAGTTTTTAGTGAATTAAAATTTTACTTCCAATTTTTTTAAATTTGTTATTTGTACCTTTTCGTCCTGCACATTCAATATCAAAACTTAATATTCTAAAAGGAGCAACTTTTGCCCATTCTCCTTCTGGATTATGGGCTATAAAGTCCGTCCATGCAATATCACCCTCAATTTGACATGCTGAACTTATGGGTCTCTCAGTATGTTCAGTACGTCTAAACCACTTTCCAGCTGGTAATTCTATCCATGTACAACCCAAAACCTTCGTATCAACCATAAATCTAGGAAGAGTGCAAATCATAACTTTTTACAATAAAAAAGCAGCTTAACTGAATCATTAAAGATGATATGTTGAATTTGCCTCAGGTTAAATCATGTTTATATTATTGTTGTATGTTGTCCTTATTCTTACTACTAATAAAACCTGACACTTTTTCTTAATTTAACTTTTGAGTGCATAAATAGAAACAATTGTATAATAAATTCGCAATTAATTAAATAAAAACTGACCTCAAATCGATATCAATATTAGCTTCATAGAAAACAAACTGATGAAGAGATAAAGGTTGATATACAGTAGTAGTCTCTAAAATTCTCTTGGTTGATGCTACTAGTTTTGGTAATGCAACAGTTATTCTCATAAACTTTTGATTATCATCTCCTGTATATTCCATCAATGATTTACCCTTTACTATTTCCATAAATAAAATAGGTTCTGTCGTGTCTTTATTTCCTCGCATATCCGCAAATACTGCAGCATTTAACTTATCCTGTAAAATAACCTATTAAACAAAGTATAATTTTCATTTTTTATGTACCTTAAAAGCAGATATTTCATCTTCTTCAAACGCCTGTGGCAAAGAAACATAAAAATAAGGAGAAAAACCGTGAATATGTAGACACACGCTGTTTTCTTTCTCAGTAACACCAAATATTCGCATAACCGGTACTGATCCTGTCTGAGCTCCAGGCATTCCACGGAATGGTTTATCAATATAATGATCTATTTCCAACTGTTGAAACTTAAGAGTTGTATCTTTAGGATTAACCTTAAGTATTGGAGGTCGTCGAATATCCGCAGTTCTGTTCATATTTATATTTAAGCAATTTAAAGAAAAAAATATAGTCATAAACTATAAAATACTTACCGCGCCTTTTTCCCAGGACTGTATGATCCAAAACTATTAGGACGTTTTTCAGACATATTGTAATAATCGAAATAACTGCAATATAAATGTTTTTTAAATAACCATCATTAATTTACAGCTGTTTTAATAGTTATAAAAACGTAAAATTATGTGGTTATGTCTTCTCTGGTTATGTTTCAAAATACGTTCAGCGCCAAAATATCGAGAGCATCCGAGGATATCCGAAGTCAACAATTTCCAACAGCCCTACTATTATTAGCCGGGAATTTAAAAAATTACAAATAAGCATTTTCTGATAACAACAGAATTTTGATTATAATATAAGTGTTCATATTGGAATTTTTTATAGACGAAAGGCTCTTATTATTGTTGTTATTTTTATACTTTTTATAGGTTTTACCTTATATCGTATCTATCTATTTTATATATATTTTTAGTGGATAGGGCAAAATCAGCCAAAATCAAAGTATCGTAGTAGATGAATGGAACGGTAAAGTTTATGTCCATATTAACTATTGTAGAGTATTACCAATTATATCTATTAAATATCTTGGCCATTTATTGCCAAATGAATAATAATTAGAATACCTACATCGTAGAGTTTATTTTTTGTATACCTATGCAGGTATTTCGCGGTTTTACTTTTTACATTCACATTTACTAACAATATAGAAAACTCCATAATAATCTATGATAGGCATTATGAATTTAGTTAACAGCCTTGAATGATAACGGGTTTTATAAGATTGCAAGTAATAATTGCTTCGTTTTAAATAATGACTGGCCTTTTTTTAATTTATTTCAAATACAACGTTAACATTATTATCATATCAACTTATTCTGTTTAACGTTTAGCATCATTATTTTAGCTAGTAAAAATCAATACTACTCCTTGCAAACGGTCGTTATTTCTCGGAGTTAAGTTTTACTCGTGGTTTTCCTAAGAAATTTGAACAACTAAGATGAATTCGGAATTGCGAAGAAGAAAAGTAAGCTAGATTTTACTTTCTATTTTCCTTAATAATTTTCGCCAGTGTTACGCTAGCCAGGCATAATAAATTTTATCGAATTAATAGATTTATTATTTTAAGATTTTAATAATTTGTAATTCAATGAATGAGGAAATTATGTCTGGATACGAAATAATTTATACTCCAGTAAGAAAACATAATTTTATAAATTAAATTACATAACCTTACTTCTACTGTATATTTAATTGTTATAATAATGTGTAATATTTTTATGTTAAATAATTAACATTGTGTATCATAGTTAAAGGACCAAAGTTATCGACCTCTTCCAAAAAGGCAGTCAAAGGAAGTGCAACCAAATTCACTACATTTCTCACTTTTGTGTTTGATAATAAGTGGATCAATATTAACATTATTTTTTGGTAAACAATTAATACTAAAATGATATTTTGCTTTATCAAAGATTTAATATTTCAGTCGTATATTTAAATGAAATTCCCTGGCACCTAGGACATCGAACTGTGGATAGTTTAGCAAAAAATATAATAGGATATTATGAGCCTGTTCATGCTGTTATTATTGATGCAGGAAGTACAGGATCACGAGTTTTGGCTTTTACATTTCATAAGGCATATTTGGGTTAGTAAAAGTTATTGTATTTAATGTAATTTTATTTATATGTGGTAATTCAATTAATATCGGAATTTATGTTTATATGACCTTTTAATTTGCTAGGCAGTATAAAAATAATCCACTTTTATTTTTTATTTTTTTTAATTATTTTACTGTATAATAGACAAAGACTCATTTATTATTAGACAAAAACCTAGCTTTTCAAACTTAAGTAATAAATATGTTTTTACCATTTAGCGTTGACTTTTATAAATTTCTTGACATTTATGTTGGAATTGTGTGCTTAATGTTAGGGCTTATCTTTATTATTGTCTCATTATTTATCTACATGATTATTTTAATTATGCATCCTCTTATTACTCTATATTTACTAATTTTTAAACATTTATTTTATTTTCTAGATGACCATCTAGTTTTAGATAAGGAGTTATTTGAGTATACTAAACCAGGCATATCTTCATTTGCTGATAATCCTAAGAAGGTATGTTCTTATATCTTATCTTTATTCTATGCATTGTGTATTCTTTATCTTGTTTTTACTTTTTTACTTGTAAAAAATACAAGTCGAGGACATTGCAGTTCGTATTATACATTTGTTTTATTTTTAATTAACTAATAAAGTTTTATTTTTTTTAAATAATATGTTTTACTTTCGGTTGTATTTGTGAAAATTTTTAGGAATTTTTTTGGCAATAGCATTATTTCTAATTTTATCGGCACTTATGTGTGTTGCTAATGCGTCTGTAAATTTGTTGATTTGGTCTGTGTAACGATTTTAATATCGAATTTTAGGCAGTAGAATCGATCAACTCTCTTCTAGAAAAGGCGAAACATGAAATTCCTGAACAATATTGGAATAAAACTCCACTTGTATTGCGGGCGACTGCAGGTCTTCGACTTTTGCCAAGAAAACAAGCTGATAATCTACTTAACGCCATAAAAGAATTTTTTAAACAAACGCCTTTTTTAACTAAAGAAGATTCTGTTGACATTATGGATGGAACAGATGAAGGAATTTATTCCTGGTTTACACTCAATTTCCTTTTAGGTATGCATCTATTACAAGTGGTCCATTTAAGTTATCCTCCTGTGTTTTATTTTCTGTTTTAAATTGTTTTTGCATTGATTAAATAATTTATTTGTTAATTATGAAGGAATATGTCACAAAGACTATTGAAAATTTCTGTGCCGCTCTTTGTTCTGCTATTTTTTCTACCTTTATGTCAACTTTTAAATAATACAGTAAGAACAGTTAATTTGAAAAATTGCTTTTTACTTAGAACGTTTTTCGGGAAATGCTGCAAAAACGGTTGCAGCACTGGATCTTGGAGGTGCTTCGACGCAAGTGACCTTCAGTCCGTCAACCCCAGCAACTCTATCAAACAAAAATGATATTCATATGGCCAATACACCTAGTGGTTCGATGCCTGTATACACACACAGTTTTCTTGGTCTGGGACTAATGGCAGCTCGAAAACACATTTTGACACTTAATGCAAAAGAAAATGAAACTGAACTGATTACAGAATGCGTTAATCCAGTAGTAGATAAAAAAAGATTTCATTTTAATGGAAAGGACTACTATGTAAGTGGTTTGAAAGAAAAATATAAGACTTTGAAGAAGCCAGGTAACAGTTTTACAGTCGAGGAAGAAATACCTGTTGTCAACTTTGATTGGTGTTCAAATGAACTAGTTGAATATGTTAAGTCTAAAGCAAAAATTATTGCAGAATTGCCATCAAAGCAAATTAATACTTTTAGTTACTACTATGATCGAGCAGTTGAAATTGGATTAATTGGTGAGTTGTTTATCTAATATTATTATTGATTTTTATGTACCATTTGGGTTTAATTCGGTTTTGTGGAAAAATACGTTTTCAATGCGCTATTAAAATAAAAACAATGAAAGTTATTGTGTATATCATACATTGTTACGTTAATTTAATTAAATTGAGATTATTTTGATGGTTTTTAAAAAATTGCTGTTGCCTCATTGCTTTACAGATTTTGTATTATTCCTGAATTCACTTTAGACGGTTTGTTGTTGGTTGCAGTGTTTATCTGCGTTCTGCATGTACCCCCTAAGTAATTTTTCTATATATTAATACATTAGTAGAAAGTTGCTTAAAAAAAAGTATTATTCTTCCTTTTGGGAAATCGGTAATGATTCAAAGGATTAAATGATGGGTAAATAAATTATTATGTATTTAGCATAAAAATATAGTGTCGCAAAATCTGCACTTTATAAGATAAAGTAAAAAAGGGCACTCATCTCTAAAGTTGTGGGATACACATATATTGGAAAAGGGTGCCACCAAAAAGGGCGACTGTCTCTCCCTGTAGAGATTTGAAAAAATTTAATCAAATGCCAAGCCATTTACTGTCTGATTTATAATTCCCAAGCTATGCGAAACAAAGAGTTCAGAGTTTCCCAATATGGAAAATATTGTGAAAATGATTCATTTAATATTAAATATAGTATTCGTCAACGTAAACAAATAAATAATGTGAACAGCTCCTGAGTTTTTCTTTTTGCACTATTGAATGTATACTGAATTAGTATTATTTATACAGTTTTAATCTTAAAATATTAATGTAGGTAATATATGATGGAGTATTATTACATCACGTTCAATTTAAAAATGTCAATTTTTAGATGAAACGACAGGTGGTCAAATAACAGTTTCTGATTTTGAAAGAGCTGCAAAATCTGGTAAATAAAATAAAATAATAAATTTGGTGTTTCGGTGTATGTACTGTTATTTTTTGTTACAGTCTGTTCAGAAGCTAATGACTCTCAACCTTTTATGTGTTTAGATTTATCTTTTATTTGGATTTTACTTGAGAAAGGTTTCGGACTAAGATCGGATACGAAATTATTTGTAAGTTTATCACATTTTATTAATTTATCTCGTTAATTGTGTTTTTTGCAGATTTATAAAAAAGTGAATGGACATGAAATAAGTTGGGCTTTAGGTTTAGCATATAGTTTATTAACCAGAAATAGCTAAGTCTGTATAATTAAATTCAATGTTTACTAGTAACTTGCTGTGCCTTTTGTGTAAATAATATTTTTATTGATTTAACAAAAGTTATTAGGCTGTGCAGAGGTTATTCCATTGACGATTTAATAATTTTATTCTCGCACAAATTATATAAATGAAATTTAATAATAATTATTTGTATATTCCATTTTGCATCTCATTCCTCTTTCCTAGTGTGTGGTATGTGTGAAGACATTTAGTGCTGAATGTAAACCATTTCGATTTTTGTCTATTTTCTTTTTAATAGGTAAAATAATAAGATTTTTTATAACGCATTTATTATTACAGCAAATACAATTAATTATTAATAACGTGATAACAAAAAGAAATTTTGTTAAGGCCAACTTTTCTGGTATCTTATTTGACAAAAAAAAAAAAATAATCAATAAAATCAAATCAATCCTTTATA